AATAATTTAGAAAATGGGAGCCTCATCCCCACAATGAGGGTTCACCCTCCCTCTGAAATCTTTTCTGCCTGAGTAGGGAATGCTGAATAATACTTTGAAAACAGTGGATTCCAATGTTACTATAACAACTATAATCATATGGGGGATTCTAGAATATTTCAACAAGTCTTTATGGGTTTGGAAATAATTTTCAATACCAAAACAGAAATATCTGATAATTAATGCAAAGAAAAACTCTAAATCAGTCAATGTGGGGCAAGCTCTTCCTAAAAAATATTTTAATTGACTGGTCACCCAGATTGGTCAGGATGAACTTAATTCTCAAAACCTTGAGTTTTCTATTTATAAATAAGGTACAGTTCTGGCAACTGTCTACAATATTTACATAAAACAGGAAGGCAGTGAGCCCAGCTGCGTCTCACACAGGCGTGGTCTATAATACCTTTCGTATAGAGAGCAGCTGCCTCAAACTTTGTGTTTAAAATTACTCAGAAGAGGATCTAAGGGACAACACCAAGGCTGAAAGTCTCCAAAGTTATCCAATTTGAAGAAACCTACCCTTGTTCCTTAATGTCATTAAATAATAATATTCTGTGACAAAATAATAAGGATTTTCTTTACCTATTTTGAACATAATAATCAGGATAAGAAATGTTGTAGGAACAGAAAAGATGATGTAAATATAGATAAAAGGATATGAAAAATATTGATGTTACTGGAGAGTCGGATTCTTTTATCCTCAGAGTGTGACAAGCAATTTTTACTTCACTGGTTAATATCTAGTCACAAAAGGCCATGGAATAAACAGTGGCTATACCCATAACCAGTGTCACCTTGAGGCTTTAAAGAAAAAAGTAGCTGAGGCTACTTTTATTTTAGCATTCTATTACACACACACACACACACACACACACACACACGGCTTATTGGTCTATTTTGCTCCAAATATTCCGAACACAGAGATTTTAAAAGGATGTATATTTTGAACTGATGTTAGATGAGTTTCTTAAGTACTTATTTAAAAAACAGTCATCTGATCAAGTTGAAATTTCATATAATGTGGATGTAAACAAAATTGAGAAAACTGGACCTTGAGAAGTGTCATATCTAAAATGGTATTTCACAAACGTATGCAAAGAAGCCCTTGGTTTTTCCTCCTATAAGAGAAGTTGAAGAAAATAAGGTCCCTATAGACCTTAAAGTGAAGGAGAACAAGAGTAAAGTATTTTTAGTATCTTTAGAACATGCAGGGGGGTTGGTTTAATAGAAGAAGCTTTGAAAACAGCAATAATCAGATCTCTGACAGCAGATGAAATGTTTGTTGGAAATGATGGAGCTAGGCTGAAATAGTAGTCTTAAGGCAAATCCAGGGCAGACAACCAGCCATCTTGGGAGCTACTGTTTAGATTAAAATGTTAAAAAAATTATGCTAAAACCCTCCAACAAAGTCTAGAGTGAAGAATAAGTACTGAGATTACAATATATTCTTTTTAAAAAATTTTTATTTTTTAACTTTCAAAAAATGTTTTAATTGATTTTTTTAGAGAGACAGAAACATCAATATGAGAAACATCAATCAGCTGCCTCCTACACACCCCCTACTGGGGATTGAGCCCACAACCTAGGCCATGTTCCCTGACTGGGAATTCAACCTGGACTTCTTAGTACATGGGATGACGCTCAATCCACTGAGCCACATTGGCCAGGCTAAATTTTATTTATTGATTTGAGAGAGAGAGAGAGAGACAGAAACACTGAATTGCCCCACCTATTTATGCACTTATTGGTTGATTCCTGCATGTGCCCTGACCAGGGTTTGAGCCCACAACCTTGGCCAATTGGGACAACACTCTAACCAGCTGAACCACCAGTTTCCAGGGCTACAATATATTCTTAAGATGCATGGCTTCTAAACTGTCTTCAGCCATAGGTGAAAGCCTATATAGGTACACTGAGTGACAGTGTCACTTTATTTTTTATTTATTTATTTTTCTAAAGTTGTTGATTACAGTACCAGCCTTTATTTTTTATTTATTTATTTATTTTTATCCTCACCCGAGGACATTTTTCCATTTTTTGTTCAGGTAGAGTGGGAGGGAGAGAGAGGAATAGAGAGAGAGAGAGAAAAATCGATGTGAAAGGAACACATCGAGTGGCTGCCACCCGCACAACCGACCAGGGCCGGGGACAAACTGCAACCAAGGTACGGGCCCTTAGCGGGAACCGAACCCGGGTCTCTCAGGACCGCAGGCCGACGCTCTAACCGCTGAGCCAAACCGGCCAGGGCGACAGTGTCATTTTAAGAAGCTATCTAGCCCTGGCCGATTTGGCTCAGGGGTTGGAACACTGGCCCAAGGACCAAAGAGTCTCGGTTCAATTCCCAGTCAAGGGCATGTACCTGGGTTGTAAATTCAATCTTCGGCCCCGGTTGGGATTGTGCGGGAGGCAACCAATCGATGTTTCTCTCTCTCCCTTTCCACTCTATCTAAAAATTAATGGGAAAAAAATCCCAGGTGAGGATTTAAAAAAATAAATAAAAGAAGCTTTCTGTATCTTACAGACACACTTAACACACAGCTTTCTAATTTGTTGAAATACACAGCCCAGCTTTCTACAGAATATACGAAACACCTTTTCTGCCCTGGAAGGTTTGCTCAGTGGTTAGAACATTGGCCAATGGACCAGAGGGTTTCCGGTCTGATTCTTGGTCAAGGGCATGTCCCTGGGTTGCAAGTTCAATCGCCGACCCTAGTTAGGGTTGTGCAGGAGGCAACCAATCTATGTCTCTCTCACATCGATATTTTTCTTTCTCTCCCTCCCTCCCTTCCACTCTATCTAGAAAATCAATGGAAACTATCCTTGGCTGAGGATTAAAAAAAAAAATTAAAACAAAGAAATGATGATCAGTAAAGACTTCTTCTCCAGCCCTGGCCAGTTTGGCTCAGCAGTTAGAGCGTCGGCCTGCGGTCCTGAGAGACCCGGGTTCGGTTCCCGCTAAGGGCACGTACTTCGGTTGCAGTTTGTCCCCGGCCCTGGTTGGTCGTGCGGGTGGCAGCCACTCGATGTGTCCCTTCATGTCGATGTTTCTCTCTTTCTCCCTTCCTCTCTCTCCCTCCCACTCTATCTGTACAAAAAATGGAAAAATATCCTCGAGTGAGGATTAAAAAAAAAAAAAAAAGACTTCTTCTCCCTTCCTGCACAGGTTTTACTGGCAATCCAGTAAGAGATCTTTTGTCTCCTCCTAAATATCCTTCCTATCTTTTTTAAAAAAATCCTCACCTGAGGGAATGCTTTATTATTAATTTTAGAGAGAGAGAAAGGGAGAGGGAGAGAAAAAAACATCAATGTGAAAGAGAAACATTGATTGGTTGCCTCCTGTACACACGCCAGCCGGGACTGAACCTGCACCCTGAGTATGTGCCTTGACTGGGAATCCAACCTTTGTGCAACCTTTCCGTGTACAGGGCGATGCTCCAACCAAGTGAGCCATACCAGCTGGGGATCCTTCCTATCTTTTTAAACAGAATAATCCATGTCACCAGATTCCAATCCCCAAAAGGCTTTGATCTTTGTCATAAACAAATTGGGAACTGTTAGCAAAAGATATAGAAAAGAGTTGCCCTGGCCAGTTTGGCTCAGTAGTTGGAGCATCAATCAGACCGTGAACCAATGAATAATCACGGGTTCAATTCATGGTCAAGGGCATGTACCTTGGTTGCAGTTCCTCTCTGATTCTGGTTGGGTCGTGCTGGAGGCAGCCAGTTGATACACATCGTTGTTGCTCTGTCTCTCTCTCTCTCCCTCTCTCCCACTCTATCTGATGATAAATGTAAAAGTATCCTCGGGGAGGAAAAAAAAAGAAAAAAGAAATAAAAAAGAGAGATAGGTGACCTAAATCCTCAGTTTTCTAATGAAATTGTTTTTTTGGATAAGGTTTCTGTTGTCCTTGAAGCTCCCAACATAAAGTACTACCATCTGAGATACTTGCTTCTCTGCTGGATTCCTACATCCCACATGACATCAAGGAATTCCACAAATATGCACTTTGGTGTAGTGTTGTCCAGATATGCACACTCACTGTAAAGCTGACCAATGAGCATTATGACATAGCACCTGTCACCAAGTATAACAAAAATTGGAGCCTAAAGACCCCCAAGATTCCCCTCACTAGTTGGTTGTGACTTGAAAAACCAAGGGAAGATTATTCAAACGTTCTATCTGAACACTTGTTTTTGTATTCAAAAATATGCTGACAGACTCTGACATACAGTTCAACCTGATGAGTGCTGAAAGATAAACACCCTGTAATTGATATAGAATATATGAAATTCCTCACTCATCCAATGCCCTTAGCAAGACTTCCAATTCATAAAGGAATCATTCTACTCAAGTCTGTTTCCATTACCCCAGTTGATTTAAAAAATGTTGATGTAGAAAAAAGGATGCTGGGGAGAATAGATGCTATAATAACTGATGCAATACACAGAAGGGCGTAAGCACTTCTATTGAAGGTTGTACATGAAATTGTTCTTTTTATAAAATATTTAGACATGTAGCTTCCTTTGCAGATGGACTAAATCACCTGGGGTCCAAAAATGAAAGCAAAAGGATCTGGCAACAGTTAAGAAACCTCCAAAGTTCTAAGGGAAGTTTAAACCAATCATGCCCATATTTAATTACTTAAAATAAATTTTAAGTAATTCTAAGAAAATCCCTCATTATCTTTTATTTTGCATTACTGAAACATATTAAGAGGAATTGAGGGTGCAGAAGAAAGCAGGTTATGGAAAACATTCCCCTTGGTTCTTAAAATCACTGGGTTTGGGTTATTCACTTAGAAGTTCTACTATAATCAAGTTTTCCATAAGAAGAGAAGTTTAAGCCACTGAAATCAAACAGATCTCCTTCAATGGTACCCTGTAGAGAGGAAAACACCTTCCTGCATTTGAAAAGTTATTAGTCTAAAATGAAAGACGTTACCTTCTAAAAACAAGAGAAAAGCCTGGCTAATTCAAGTCAGAAACCCAGGCTAGAGGTTTCCAAGGCCCTTTTATTAGGGGAAGTTCCCCTTTACAGCACAAGACTTCACATATGTATCAGGCAATCAGATAAATTCCTAAAATTTAAGAAAAAGAGGGAAAATAAAACAGATGCATTGCTTATATATATGTTAGACATAAATTAAAAATGTTATAAAATGGTCACCTTTCTTACAGAATAAATGCAGAGTGTATTATGAACGCACCTCCAGGTTTAAGTTAAGTTGCTTTGTTTTCCAATAATAAATAAATAAAATATGTTTTTAAGTTTTGGATCCACCTGTGCCACAGCAGGGCTCAGAGACATTATCAGCTTTTCTTCCCTTCTCACTCCTGGGCGCAGCATTTGGTTGCTCAGGGGTTACCAATTTCCCTGGCCCATCAGGGCATTGGCTATCTTTTCGGGGTGGCATCCGCTCATTAATTCGGTCCAGACCTCGGGCTTCTTCAAAACTATGGATCTTGTGAAGCGAAAATCCTCTGATAGCTAAGAAAAACAGGAAAGGGAAGGGCTCAATTAGAAGGCAAAGTGACAAGCTTCAAGTTTCTTAGCACACAGCAGCCTCCTAGAGAAAAACACAGGAGGGTGGCTAGGGAGCACATGTCTGGTGAGAATAATAGGCAATATTTTATTTGAATTAGCTTTGTCTTGAAGCTACTAATTTCTTAAAGCCCTCAGGGCAGCTGAAACTGTGAAAGTAATTTTCATGGAGCTCAATACAATTAATCATAAAAATATACCTGACAGCCCTGGCCGGTTTGGCTCAGCGGTTAAAGCGTCGGCCTGCGGTCCAGAGAGACCTGGGTTCGGTTACCGCTGGGGGCATGTACCTCGGTTGCAGTTTGTCCCCGGCCCTGGTTGGTCGTGCAGGTGGCAGCCACTCGATGTGTCCCTTTCACATCGATGTTTCTCTCTCTCTCTCTCCCTCCTGCTCTATCTGAACAAAGAATGAAAAAGTGTCCTCGGGTGAGGATAAAAAAAAAAGTATACCTGACAAAAAAGAAATAAGTTCTTACTCAGTCCCAGTACATTTGGGAAAGTTTCTTATAGGCCAGAAACGTGCTCAATGGGAGAGAGAGAGAAAAGGAGACACTAGAATAATAGAACAAGTTAAACAGTGTAGTTACTTTAGCACAAACATCACATTGACCACACACACACAAAAAGTAACAAAAGGACTAGTCTTTTTGTTTAGAAGGATAGCTTTTTTTTTCTTGCACAACCAGGAGCTGAACATAAGTTAAAAGCCATCTAAACAATAGCTTCTAGATATTTTATTTGATAAAACTTTAGTATTATCAAGGAAACCATTCCTATTTTGAACTACCTTACCTAACAAAACAAATTTATAACACAATATCAATTCCAATGGTTTTCATCCACAGGTTCGCAGAAAATTTGTTACTTAAAATTTGCTTTCATAGAAACAAAGATAATTTAGCTTGACAGACTTAGGGCAACTTCAGAAATAAACCAAACTAAATTCCTGTCTACTTTGCCTCTGCTCTTGATATCCTTTAGAACAGTGGTTCTCAACCTTCCTAATGCCGCGACCCTTGAATACAGTTCCTCATGTTATGGTGACCCCCAACCAAAAAATTATTTTCGTTGCTACTTCATAACTGTAATTTTGCTATTGTTATGAATCGCCATGGGAAATATGTGTTTTCTGATGGTCTTAGGCGACCCCTGTGAAAGGGTCATTCGACCCCCAAAGGGGTCGCGACCCACAGGTTGAGAACTGCTGCTTTAGAATCATTAGATAGAGGCTGACCTGTTTGAATCTCTAGTAATCACATGGATGTCTCTTATATATGGAAGAGCTATAGGATTAAACCTCTTGATCCCTCTTGACCAGTTGCTTAAGTTTCAACCATTGTATTAAAACAGAGCCCAGAAAGGACATTAGCTGTGGAGAGGGTCATTGAAATTAATACAACTACAGGATACTTTGTGAGCATGTCTAGAAATATCTATTCCTTTTCTCACTGTTACAGTTCTGGTGATGCAATAAGAGATTTCAAATGTTGACAAAGCTTTTAAAACCAGTAGACAGACACATGATCACATCTATCACAGGAACATGGCCATACCTTCCCGGGCCTCTACTGCTTCTACTGTGGCTGTAAGAGGCAGGAGCAGTGGCATGCAAAAATGAAGACAGAAAAAGAGTGAGTAAACCAACAGCAATGCTGCCAGCAGACATCCTAGGGTCCCACCTTTTAGCCTATTCCCATCCATAACAAAAGTCAACTAGTTAGAGAAGCGAGAGGATTATTGCGAAAAACTAAATTGAGGGGTTGGGGAATATGAGGTGGGGAGAGTTTCTGACATTTCAGGTGGCATGGGAACCTTTTAGCTAATGGCATCTATACCTAAGCCAATTGGGTCAATCAAGCTGACTACAGAAACCAAGAGTTATGTTGCTTTCCTGATTTTAAATAGCCAGATGTTAATTTATGTCTTGACATTCACATATCAAAAAACTCATAGAGTCAAATAATTTAACATTACGATCATTCTTGGACTTGTAATAGCTCAGATGGTATTAAATGAGCTGCTGCTGGTCCTATTAAAAATTATTTAAAAATACTTCTTATTGCTTTCAAGCAACTTATGTGGAGTCCAAATGTCATTTTAAACGACTTAACAGCAACAAAAAAGGCCTCTGAATAACACACTGGCATTTGAAAGAAGAAAAACGGGTTTTACGTGAGGGTTATTTCTTGTCCAGGGGTGGAGTACGGTGCTAGCAAAAGCATAAAGCTGTCCAATTCTGGATACAAATTCATGTACCATCTGGGATTAGAGATACATCAGAGGCTGATATTTACAATCCATATGGCTTCCATTCATTGTGCGAGAGCAGGCCAATTACTAAGAAGGTCCTGTTCTCCTTCAGTGATAGAAAAGGAAGCAATTAGTACCAACACGTAAACTTCCTTGCATCTTCTGTTAGGACAGTAAAAGCCCTAATATATGAAAAGGTTGTAGTAGCAAGAAAGATCCTATTAGGAGAATTATGTCAGTTCCTGCCAACTTTTAAAAAGAAGGCAGTGAAAAATAATGAACAGTAACTGTTTGCTCTTCCCGAGGCTTCATATATCAACAAGAGGAAAAACTGGGAGAATGGAAAGTTAACTTCCTAACCCAATGTGAAAATGGAAACTTGGAATCAACTTATCAAGGGCTTACATTTGTCAACCATATGTAGGCATGTGTTAAAGCAATGTCACACCCTCTCTAATCTCCTCAAATAAAACAAGTAAACTTTTACAAGAAAACGATAGTGCCTTCAAAATAGTATGTCACTGATGCAACTGTGAGGAACTCGGAGAACAAAGCATTGACTGATATTGTGTACGGAGTGTTGGCCTTAAAAGCTACGTGGCAAAATGTGTATTAGTATTACATTGTTTGGGGCTCTCCTAGAATTGCTTTTTGCATTGGGTATTAAGATATCAGTCTGTACTAAAGGACATTTTAAGAAGCAGCCATATAAAACTGAGAAACTGACCTTTTATTCTTTACTGAAATATAATTCATATACCATAAAATTGGCTCGTTTAAAGTGTACAATTCAATGACTTTAATGTATTTAGAATTGTGCAATCATCATTACAGCCTATGGTTAGAACATTTTCATCACCCTGTAAATAAACCCATTTCCCTGTATCATCACCCTGAAAACAAACCCATTTCCCTCTATCATGCCCACCCCTTAACCCTGGATTTGCCCATTCTGGACATTTCATATAAATGGATTCACACAATATGTGATTTTAGTGATTGTCTTCTTTCACTTAACACTGTGATTTTCAACCTCTTTCATCTCATGGCACACATAAACTAATTAATAAAATTCTGCAGCACACCAAAAATATGTTTTTGGCTGATCTGACAAAAAACAAAAATAAAAAACAATAGGTATAATTTTGATTTGTTCACACCGGATGGCTATTGTCATTTTTTGATAATCTAAGGGAAAAGAGGTCAGTGCCCCTGACTAAATAGTTGGGTATTACATGTTTAAAAAGTTCTTGCGGCACACGGGTTAAAAATCACTAACTTAGCATAATGTTTTCAAGGTTTATTCATCTTGAAGCATGTATCAGTACTTCATTCCTTTTTATGACTGAATAGTATTCCATTGCAGGTATATACCCTGTTTTGTTTATCCACTCATTAGTTGATGAACACTTGAGTTGTTTCCACTTACTGGTTATTACGAGAATACTGCTATGAACATTTGTGTACAATTTTTTGTTTGGATGTTTTCATTTCTCTGGAATATACAATTAGGAGTGGGACTGCTGGGAACTGCCAGACTAGCTTCGAAAGGGCTACACCACTTTACATCCCCACAAGTGATGTAAGAGGGTCCCAATTTCTACACATTCTCACCAACACTTGATTATTATCTTTTTGGTCACAGCTATCCTAGTGGGTATAAAGTGGTATCTCATTGTGGTTTTTATTTGTATTTCTTTAATGTCTAATGATGTTGAACATCTTTTCATGTGCTTGACCATATGTATGTCTTTTTAAAAAAAATATCTATTAAAATTTTCTACCCATTCTTAATTATTTGTCTTTTTATTATTTGGTTATAAGACTTCTTTATATTTTCTGGGTATTAGTCCCTTATCAGATGCATGGTTTGTAAATCTTTTCAACCACTCTGTGGGTTGCCTTTTCACTTTCTTCATGGTCCACTTGCAACATAAAAGTTTTTAATTCTGACGTAGTCCAATTTATAACTGATCTGTTTTATTTATCTTATGGTCTTTGTGAATCTTGTTCATTTCTTGTCTTTCCTCTTTATTTTGGCTACTAGAAAGCTTGGAATCACATCTGTGATTGACTACTGGCTTTTTTGTTTGTTTTGTTTTGTGCTCCGATTTCCAAGAATATTTATTTTATTTCACTGTGCTGTATATACACTGTAATTCACACTCCAATCCCTCTTGGAACAAGGTGGGGCACAAATGAGTATATGCTATAAGATCAGATGACCTATTGTTGATTGAAAGCTCTTCAAGTAAAGTTACATAAACAATAAAAGGTCTTATGCATCTAATGCTCCAGAGTTTGCCAATGAACCTGTGGAATTGACAAAATAAACTCAGTTCCTGTCAATCAATAAGAGAGAATAAGAAGCTCTAAAAAGTTGGCTCCAACTTTAGTATTGTTTTCCTTATGCATTCCTGAACATTTCTATCAATAAACAATCCTATATTGACTAAAACACTCATATTCATATTAGAAACTAAGAAAAACTGGATATATTAGGGACTGAAAACAAAAGGTAGGCCAAGGACTACAAAAAAAAAAAATAAATCTCCAAATAACATCTATAAAATTGTCTTTACATCTGTTTAACTACCACCCAGATAGTGATACAGAACATTCCTACTATTGCAGAAGTCCCTTGTGCTCCTTCTGGGCCAATATTCTCCCTCTAAAGGAAGTGCCATTCTGATTTCTATTGCTACTGATTAGTGTGCCTAGTCTTGAACATCATATAAATCAGACAATCAGTGTCCTTTTAGGTATAGTTTTTTAGTTTACCATAATGTCTATGAGATTTAACCATGTTTTGACATGTATTCATAATGTCATTTTTTATTGCTGAGTAGTAGTCCACTGTATACATACAACACATTTATCTATTCTACTATTTATTGGTGGACACTTCGGTTGTTTCATAGTTGGGGCTATTGTAAATAAAGCTAAGGTGAGCATTCTAATGCATATCCTTTGGTGGACATATGCATTAATTTCTCTTTGATATATACCAGGTGTGGAATTGCTGGGTTATGGGGTAAACATGTTTTGCTTTACTGCCCAGTAAACAGTTTTCCAAAGTGGTTGAATCAATTTATAAGCCTGCCAGCAATGTATCTAGTTCTAGTTGTCCACAGACTCACTAATACTTGGTTTGTCGGACTTTTTCATTTTGATACCCTCTTTTGTGAAGTACCAGTTAAAATTTTTTGACTATTCAAAAAACATTGGTTATTTGTATTTTTCTTATTGAGCTGTATTTTTGTATTATATTCTGAATACAAGTCCTTTGTCAGACGTGTGTATTGCAAAAATGTCCCAATTTATGGCTTGCCTTTTCCCTTTCTTATGAATTTTTGTGAATGGCAATTCTTATTTTTAATAAAATCTATTTTTTTCTTTTAAGATTAGTACTTTCTGTATTCTATTTAAGGGCTCTTTATCTGCCTCAATGCCTACTCTCCATGCTTTCTTTTGGGGGTTCTACTCTTTTACCTTTTAAATTTAACTTATAATTCATTTTGAATTAATTTTTGCATATGGAGAGAAGGGTCAAGATTAATTTTTCCCCCAGATAAACATCCAATTGCTCCAGTAACATTTATTGAAAAGTCCCAATTAAAAAAATTTTATTTTAAAATTAATGTATAGTTGACATACACCAGTACATTAGTTTCAGGTGTACAACAAAGTGATTCTACATTTATATACCTTGTACAGTGATTACCACAATGTCTAGTAACCAACTGTTACCGCACATAGTTATTACAATATTATTGATTATATTCTCTGTGCTGCACATTACATCCCCATGACTTATTTATTTTATAATTAGAAGTGTGTACATTTTTCCTTTTTCACCTTTTTGTCCATCCCCTATCCCTCTCCTCTGTGGTAGCCATCAGTTTGTTCTCTGTATCTATGGGTCTGTTTGCTTTTTTTTTTTTTAATATTGTCTATTTTATTTTTTTTAAACAGAGAAAGGGAGAGAGAAACATTAATGTGAAGGAAAAACATCAACAGTTGCCTCCCGTAAGCACCCCAACCGGGTCCAAACCCTCAACCTAGATATGTGCCCTGACTGAGAACTGAACCTAAGACAAGTTTATGGGCCACCGCTCCAACCAATCAAGCCACACTGAGACCAGGGAATTCATTTTTTTTTTTAATATTTCACATATAAGTAAATTTCTGGTGTTTGTATTTCTCTGTCTGACTTATTTCACTTAGCACAATACCCTCCAGTTTCACCCATGTTATTGCAAATGGCAAGATTTCGTTTCTTTTTATTGAGGAAGCCCCAATTTTTCATTTTACATTGACTGCTAGGTAACAGGAGCACACCTTCCTTGAAAGGAGCATTCCTCATACTCACCTGTCTCAATAGTCTGCTTTCCTCCGGAGAGGACACCCAGAGGGAGTGTACCTGAAGGTGTCAGGCCCTTGAGAGTCAGCACACTCTCATTTTCCTCCCTGCAAAGGAAGATCAAAGCTCTGGGTTAATGCCGGGGTGTCCACCACTCAGCAATTCCAAGGTACCTGAAGGAAGTTAAGATGCATAAAGACGGAGAACAGTTTCTTTTTCTCCCACCCCTTCCCTGACCCAAAGAAAGGGATGTTTTCTCTAAATATTCCAATTTTAAAGAATGTGCCAGGTCTTGCTTTTCAATTAATGACCCTTAATAACCAGGTACTACTCTAATGCTTCCATACATTATCTTATTTAATCCTCTTAATAACCATATAAAGCGGGTTTTATTTTTAATCTCTCTTTCATAGACATGAAAAATGAGGCATAAGATCACACAGCTAAGAGGAGGCAGGGCCAGGATGTATTCACAGGTAATCTGGCTCCAGAATCCACACTAAGCCACTACATTTGAATGAATGTTTGCCAGAATATTTCTAGCCATTCTAACATATAGGTCTGATTGTAATCTGCACTTGACCTACAGTTCAAATAGCAAATTCCAATTCTAAAAAAAACTGTTTAGGTATCAACTTCTAATTTACTTTCAAAATGCTTTTATTCCCACACTGTAATCCTTACCGAAGAATTGAAAAGACCCGTGCCATCTTCCCAATGGCTCTGATTTTATTCTTGATGATCTCCTTTCGAAGTGTACTGCCTCCTTGGAGGAACAATACAAAGAATAAGTGAGTTAAAGAAATGTGTTAACAGATTAATTTTTACAAGTGCAGGATGAAGTATCTTTCAAAGTTAAAGAAACTGTCATTTTTTTAAAAAAGCAAGGCCTAATTTTGTTTAAACAAAAATCCCAGAAAGTTCTGAGCAGCAAGAGGAAAAAAATAACCCAGAAGAGAAAAAGATGAAGTAAAAAATGGAGGGGCCACACAAGCATGTCTATGAGAGGTAGGAACTTATCTGAAGTTCTGAAATGTAGAACACAGAGAAGAGTATAATATACATATATAAACAAAGACAGTTTGAGAATGCTGTGGGGCCACCTTAGGATGCAGGGTTTGGCCTGCGAATGGCAAGTGATGATTTGAGCAGTTGTCTTCTGCATGTAAACATACGGCACAGCTAGTTCTCTAGAACTTAGTGAGGGCTTTCACTCTATAATCCTCACTTACAAACTGATGAATATTTCCTACTATAGACAACTGCACAGAAAAAATTGTGATGATGGATTAAGGTTTTTTATAAAGCAACATCGCAAACGTTAATACAAGACTTGAAGGACTTTTCTCATCTAAGATTCAGGAAACAGCTCACACATGAGAAGCCAAGGTTCAGCATGCACCATGTGACCACATTCAAAAGTCAGAAAAAAAACATGTCCTCTCCTTCCTCACCAACACCCCCATGCCCCCTACTGCTCTCAATATCCTGCAGGATCATACAGCAGGTCCAGAGAAAACATATGCAGGATGGAGAGCCTATCTGAAATTACTCAACTACAACTAAAAAAGTCTAATAGATTGTAGGGGGACAGACAGTGAATATTAAGCTCTTAGCACATTTTAGTAAGATACCTTTCTGATAGCTTGAAATGTAGTGATCTTCAGGGAGAAGAGACACCAAGAAACAAGGAGATGAAGATAGAAATAGGAGAAGAGCAATTTAAGTTTACATGGAAGAGAGAAAAAAAATCAAAGTGAAATGCAATGAGAGAAGCAGGCTGTTATCTTTATCAGATCAGAAGAGAAATCCTTGGTATCATGACAGAATGTTCGATCACAAATTTCTTGTCAGTCATTTTCCCACTTCTTAAAAGTTCATGGCTTTACATTAATTCACATCTATTATTATCCAACAAGTTGTATCCCCACAGATCATGAAAATAAAATTAGACAAAAACAAAAAACAAAAACAACAGTATTTTTTGTGGAACAAATGACGCTAAAAACAAGGAACACAAACAAGGACAGAACAAACAGCTTACAAATCTCTTAATAAGAGCTTATGTTTTGCCCTGGCTGGTTTGGCTCAGCAGTTGGAGCGGTCGGCCTGCGGTCCTGAGAGACCTGGATTCGGTTCCCGCTAAGGGCATGTACCTCGGTTGCAGTTTGTCCCCGTCTCTGGTCAGTCAGTCGTGTGGGTGGCAGCGACTCGATGTGTTTCTTTCACATCGATGTTTCTCTCTCTCTCTCTGTTCCTTCTCTCCCTCCCACTCTACCTGAACAAAAAATGGAAAAATGTCCTCGGGTGAGGATAAAAAAAAAAAAAAAGCTTATGTTTTTATTTAACGGATTGAATATCTTCCCATACCCTTTTAGAGATATTAATTTTCCCTTTTTAAAATTTTCTATTTTCTTCAGAATTTCAAGTCTATTCAAATTGCTTTCTGCTGTTTCTTTCTTTCTTTTTTTTTATCCTCACCCGAGGACTTTTTCACTCAGATAGAGCGGGAAGGAGAGAGAGGAAGAGAGAGAAACATCGATGTGAAAGGGACACATCGAGTGGCCGCCACCCACACGACCCAACCAGGGCCGGGGACAAACTGCAGCCAAGGTACATGCCCTTAGCGGGAACCGAACCCGGGTCTCTGTGGACTGCAGGCTGACGCTCTAACCGCTGAGCCAAACCGGCCAGGGCACTTTCTGCTGTTTCTCTTGTCTCTCATAGGGACTTTCCTGAGGTGTCTGACAATCCTTTATGTTTGCTCATGATTATGAGTGAAGGACCAAAAAGGTTTCTGAGTTGGTGGGTGGATTGTTGACTAGGAGCTTTCCATAGAGTGATCAGAGTGGGCCTATTTTAGGGAATTCTATCAGTATTGAGTATGCATGCATATGGTCACTTAATCCATCTGTTTTGGCAAGGTACTGATGCCCTCAATTGTATTCCCTGTCCTGAATTTGTTTGGTTTAGCTTTCAGAGATTAGCCTTCAGACTTGGAGAAGAGGCAGTTGCGCACTGGCAACTAGAACTTTAACTTCATTTCCAAAAGTGTTCACCCAAGTCTCCTATTTTAGCTCAGTGCCCATGTCCTTCTTCCCTCAACCCACAGTCCCCAATTCTCTCAACTGGTTCTACCAATTCCTTTGCTTTTGGAGGATTCTGTGCTGGAACTCTGCATTCCCCATTATTAAGTTGAACTTCAGCTTTCTTGAATCAGGTAAGTCAGTTAACACTAATTCATTTTGTTTTCCAGCTTCCAAAAACTCATAAAAACCTCTGGGTTTGTAGGTTTATAACTTTTCAATCTTTATTTATTTTTTATTCTCACCAGAGGAAATGCTTAGAGAGGAGGGAGGGAGAGAGAGATAAACATTGATGTGAGAGAGAAACATCAACTGGTTGCCTTCCATATGTGCCTTCACTGATCAAACCTGTAACCCAGGCATGTACTCCAACCAGGAATCAAATCAGCAACCTTTTGGTGAATAGGACAACTCTCAATCAACTGAACCACTCTGGCTGGGCACTTTTTTAAAAAAAATTTTTTATTTATTAATTTGTTTTTGTTACAGATGCTTCTCATTTTCCCCCCATTGACACCCTCCACTCCCTTCCCCCGCCCCATCCCCAGCTTTGTTGTCTATGTTCATTGGTCATGCATACATGCATGTAAGTTCTGTGGTTTATCTCTTCTCTCACAAACCCCCCTCCTCTGAAGCTTGTCAGTCTGTACCCCACCTCTATGTCTCTGGGTTAATGGGCACTTCTTTAAAAACTTTTTTACTGTGAAGTATGATAAACATACAGAAAAGTACACACACATATAACCCAGTGATTTATTAAAAAACAAATGGCCAGTCCTGCTGGTGTGGCTCAGTGGTTGGGCATCAACGTATGCACCAAGAGGTCGCTGGTTCGATTTCCAGTTAGAGCACAGGTTTTGGGCTTGATACCTGGTAGGGGTCATATAGGAGGCAGCTGATGGATGTTGATGCTTCTCTCTCTCATCAATGCTTCTATCTCTCTCCATCTCCCTTCCTCTCTCTAAAAAAAAAAATCAATAAAAAAACATTAAAAAAAAAAAGCAGCCCTGGCCAGTTTGGCTCAGCGGTTAGAGCGTCGGCCTGCGGTCCGGAGAGACCCGGGTTCAGTTCCCGCTAAGGGCACGTACTTCGGTTGCAGTTTGTCCCCGGCCCTGGTTGGTCGTGCGGGTGGCAGCCACTCGATGTGTCCCTTCACGTCGATGTTTCTCTCTCTCTCTCCCACTCTATCTGTACAAAAAATGGAAAAATATCCTCGGGTGAGGATTAAAAAAAAAAAAAAAAAAGCAAATGGCCATATAATCGCTCAGGTCAATAAATAGAACCTTGCCAGCACCCCAGATGCCCCCAGTTAAGCTCCTCTAAATAATTATATTTTCTCTCTTCCCCCAGAAAAATCATTCTCTTGAATTTTATTGAAATAGCATTCTTGCTATTCTTTATAGTTTTACCGTTAAACATGCATCCACAAGCACTTGTTTTCATCATTTTTTAACTTTATGTAACTGCAACAATCAAATACATATTTCTGTGTCTAGCGTATTTTGCTCAACACTGTAAGTCATCTGTGCTTCCCCTGTTGTTCTAGTTTATTGTCTTTATTGTATACAATTCTACTATATGAATATGCCACAACTTATTTCTCCTTTTTACAGTCAGTGGTCATTTGGGCTGATCCTAATTTTTGGCTATTTTGAATTAAGCTGCTGTGAATATTCCTGTGCATTTCTCTTCACTGCACATACTTCTGTTAAGTATACTGCTAGAATTAAAATGTTCAATTATAGGGTACATGTATGCTCAACTTTGGATAACAGTTTGGCATTATCTACTAAACTGGATGTACTAATTTAAACTTCAGTGTATGATATTCCTGCTGCTTCAAATCCTGGCCAACACTTGGTGTTATTCATCTTTAATTTTAGAGACAGTCTGGTGGATGTCTAAAATCATCCATTATTTTAATTTGCATTTTTATAATTACCAATGTGGTTGAATATCTTTTCATATTTTTACTGGCCATTTGGATATCCTCTTTTGTGAAGTGCCTGTTCAAATTTTATCTTATTGATCTCTATGTAGTTCATTATATATTTTGGCAAGTCCTTTATTGGTTGTGCTGCTTTTCACGCTTTTTTGTTAATCTTCACACAAGGATATTTTCCCCTTGACTTTTAGATAGAGTGGAAGGGAGAAAGAGAGACAGAAAGAGAGAAAAACATTGATGTGGGAGAGACACATTGGTTGTTTCCCACAAGACCCAGATGGGGGCCAGGAATGGAACCTGCAACCCTGGTACACGCCCTTGACTGGGAATTGAACCAGAGACCCTTTGGTCTTTGGGCCTACACTCTAACTGTTGAGTCAAACTGATCAGGGATCCTCTCCCACTCTTAATACAGTCTTTTGAAAAGCACAAGTCCTTATTTTTAACAATGGCCCAAGTTATTAATAGTTTTCTGTATGGTTAGTGCTTTTTGCATCCTGTTTAAAAATTTTTCTTCTTCAAACAACAAGTGTTGGCGAGGATGTGGAGAAAAGGGGACTCTAGTGCACTGCTGGTGGAAATGCAGACTGGTGCAGCCACTATGGAAAACACTATGGCGTTACCTCAAAAAAATTAAAAATTGAACTTCCATTTGACCCAGTGATCCCACTTCTGGGAATATAACCTAAGAAGCCTGAAACACCAATCAGAAAGAATAGATGTATCCCCATGTTT